ACTGGGCCATATATTTTCAGTAATACTTTTCTTTCAAAGGTAATAAATCTCTGTTCGTCCATTTTTCTAAGTGGCCATGTTTCTGATCCATATAATATAACCGGTCGTATCAGGGACGTATATAATTGTTCTTTCATTCTTCGCGATATTGCTCTTGAATGTAGTATCTTAGTGAGTCCAAAGTAACATTTATTCCCAGCTTGAATTCTTGCTGCTACCTCGTTTGCTATATTATTTTTTTCAATCAAAATAGTACCGAGGTATTTGAACTGTTGTACTCTTATAAATTCGTAGTGATCTATTTTTATGGACTGACGAAATGGTATCTCTCGTCTACTCAAGATCATATACTCCGTTTTTTGTTCGTTTACGTATAGTCCTACTTTTGATGCTGCTTTATACAATCTACTAAATAATATCTTCAATCTATCTTCAGATTCTTCCATCAACACTATATCATCCGCATAAGCAAGTATACTTATCGCCGTGTCTTGTAGTCTAATACCTTCATGAGGTTCAATTTTCATTTCCCTAATTACCCTCTTTAAAACCACGTTGAACAGAATCGGCGATAACGAATCGCCTTGTCTTAGTCCTGAATTTACTCTAACCGGGTCAGTTATTGAATTTCCCACTTGAACCCTTATCAAGGTCTCCATTACACTGATCGATATTAGATTGACCAGTTTTTGTGGGAAATGAAATTCTTTCATAATATTCAGTAGACTGTCTCTATGAACACTATATGCTTTTTTAAAGTCCACGAAAAGTGTATGTATTTCTTTATCAAACTCCCATTTTTTTTGAAACAATTGCTTAATAATGAACATCTGGTCCGTCGTAGATCTACCAGCTTTAAACCCTCCTTGATAGTTTACTATTACTTGTTCTGATTTTCTTTAATTCTGTCTAAGACACAATTTGAAAATATTTTATACGCTACGTTAAGCAAGGATATTCCCCGGTAATTGTTACAATCCTGTCTATCACCTTTTTTGTGAATTGGGCACACCACCGCCACCTTCCAATCCTCTGGAATTTTTTCTGTTGTCCACACCCTGCTAATGACTTGCCAGATCCATCGTATTGCATCTTTTCCTCCATATTTTAAGAGTTCCACTAGAACATAATCCTCTCCTGGGGATTTGCGATTTTTTAATCTTTGTACTTGTACTTCAATTTCCTCAAGTGAGGGGTGTGGGTATTCTTGTGTATTTATGTTCCTAATATTAAAGAGAAATTTTTCGGTTGGTTCCTCACAGTTTAGTAGATGGTCAAAATACTTTCTCCATTTTTCAGCTATTTCTTTCTCTGCAGTTATTAACATTCCATCATCATCCTTAAGAAACCGTTCCTTCTTTTTAAAATCTCCTTTTAAATCTTTCACTCTCTTATAAATATCGCGGGTCCTATTTAACCTAAAGTCCTGTTCAGCATCTTGCATAATATTTTGGATATACTTTCTTTTTTCACATCTTATTATATTGTGAGCCTCTTTCCTCCGTCTGCTAAATTCTATAGCACTCTTCATTATTAGTATCTTTCAACCATTATTCCCGGGCTCTCTTTCTCCTTTGTACTGCGTCTTCACAAATTTTGTTGAACCATGGTTTCTTTCTCTTTTTTCTTATCCCTAAGGTTATTTTTGCGGTTTGTTGTACAGCACCTCTAATTTTGCCCCACACATCATTCACATCGTCTGTATTTATTATTTGTTGTTCTTTAAGATTTTCGCTGATTTTTTTGCTGTAATTTTTATATATGTCAACGTCTTTTAACTTCTCAATATCATACCTCTCTATTGTATTTAATTTGTGCATGCTTTGCTTCTTGAATTTTACTCTTATCCAGATACCTAACAGAAGATGGTCGGAGTCTGCGTCGGCGCCTCGTAATGTTCTCACATTAGTTATACCATTTTTAAACCTTTTGTTGACCAGTACATGGTCAATCTGGTTCTTGTGCCTCCCATCCGGTGACACCCAAGTATATTTGTATATATCTTTGCGTAGGAACATTGTGCTTTTAATTATTAAACCTTTTCCTAATGCAAAATTTGCTAGTCTTGAACCAATATCATTCTAGTGTTCATGGAGACTGTGTATTCCTGCCACGTCATAGTATATCCTTTCCTTTCCTATTTTAGCATTTAGGTCACCTAGTACAATTTTTATATTTCCCACCGTTGTATCAAATATCTCCTCAAGTGTATCGTAAAACTCTTCCTTTTCTTCCTCATCTTTATCCTCCGTTGGCGCATGTACATTGATTAACACTATATGAAGGTCTTTATCTTTTAGGGTTAATGTCGAAATTCTCGGGTTTACATTTTTGAACTCTTTAATCATATGTAGAATCGATTCATGTACAGCAAAACCAGTCCCTAGTTTGTGCCCTCGTTCGCTTTTTCCATTTATGATTGTTGTTTGTGATATTTTTGTTGTTCCCGCATCCTCCAATCTCATCTCTTGTAAATGCTTCATTTTGTATCTCTCCACTTCACCTATTAATTCCGCTGCTGCTCCAGGTTTGTATAGTGTTCGTATATTCCAAGTACCACATTTTAAATCCGATATCCAATTTCCAGTCGTTTTTCCCAATCTAGTCCGAGGCTTGTTGTTGTTCGAATCCTGAACATGAAGTTTTTACAGTACAGGTTGTCGGCCTGTAGCTAACCTATCTAAAGATAGGTGTCAGAATTATCTTTCGATAACCCTAACGACTAGGGTACGCGGGGTCGTCACACCCGTAGACTTAATAAAGTCTCCCTTGCGGGACATTATTATATTATCAAGGAATAATGAATAATTTCGCTGTATTTCCTTTGATATTTTTCGTGAAACTTTGGACTTGACTTGTTTATTTGGTATTATAATACATAGTATTATTTATAACAATAATAATTAGACTAAATAAATTGTGTGGTAACTAGTTTAAAACTCGGTTACGGTAAATTTTTGAGTTAGGTTTAGTTCTACATATGATAATTGTTATTTCTCCTTTCTATATTTTTCCGCCTTTTAAATTTAACGATGAAACGTTTTATACTTAAATTTTAAGTCAAGTATTTATTGTGTTAAATTTAAATAAAATAAATAATATCTATAAAAGAAACAACTCATTTTACCTTTTAATAGTTACAGTTTACATTATTATTGACGAAAAATTGGCTCTATAAAACAATTTATATATAAAAACAGGGGCGGCGCTAAAAATCGTAGGTCCTTGTGTGTAACAAATTTAAGTTACTTTAATATTTTGTTTTAATTAAATAAAAAAACCTCTGTTTTGTTTTGGTTATTTACTTAGCTTTTGGTGGTTTTTAAAATCCAAGGCCACACCGTACATTTCTTATACATACTGACTTTCTATAGAAGGCTAAAGAAATACAAGACATTTTTAACAAGTATCACTTCTAATTGAAATTTCTAAAAATATTATATTTCTCATAAGGATACTTTAGTTATGACGTTTTTGGGCAAATAAACTCCTTACTTTTGTTTTAATTAAAAACAGTCAACAATTTCCATTTAAAATATTAGAGTTCTATTTTTTATGCACTTATCTCCCTAATTACACTTAAACTGTTTAGTTTATTACAAAATAATAAACAAATTAGTAGATTTGAATTTTATAAAATGAAAAATAATTGTATTTTTTATGAACTTATAGTCGAAATCTTCGATGGAAAACTTCCAATACATTTTTTTTTACTATTTGTAGTTTTAATTAATATAAACATTTTTATTTTTATTTATTTTCTAATAAATCTAATTTTTATGTATACCAATGTTATCATTAATAAGTGATTTAAAATTATTATGACATAATTTTGATGTCTTAATATCGGTTAGTATTTTATGATCGTGGTGTGCGAGGGTGTCGAGTAATACGACATTTTAATTCTAGTCCATTTATCCATAATTGAAGCTATCAAAGTGAACATCCGTGTTTAATTAAAGTTAGTTTATTATGAACCAAAGTTAAAAAACAAAAATTTTTTTCTCACTCTTATGTTAACAATTATATCAGTTTGACAGTTTGCTTTAATCCACAGGATTAAAATTTAAATACAATGTAATCAAACAAAAATAATAAGTTCCAAAATTTGAATATTTTATAGGTTTAGGAAACCATTTTTTTGTTAGATTCTTAAAATAAATGTTTAAAATATCTTTTTTAAAAATATATCAAATCTTAAAATGTATTACCATTTTTCAGAAGACAAAAAAATGTTGCTATTCCATAAAGTGCTTATTGCATTATACATCGATTATGACTGAAAGAGATTTTGGAATACTTTGTTAAACAATAAAAAATAAAAGATATTTTTACTAAAACTTCTTGAAATATGAATAAATATTTAAAGTGTAGATTTATAGATAATTTTTTTGAATTTCGAATTAATTGAGTTAATGTAAAGATGTTTTATATTTAGTGTCGTATTAAACATTTTACTAAACAGATGTTTTATTCCAATTAGATATGCTGTTTCAGAAATTATAAATTACTGACTAGCTGTCTTATAAAATTTGAAGTAATATTGCGGTATTATAGTTTTGCTTATCTAACTCCTGTTTGACATGTAGTTGACATATGACATTGCTATATTTATTCTATCTTATAAATATTGTGTAGATTCGCCTGATTTTTATGTACATTTATAATTGCCATAAGTTATGACAGTTACATGATGACTCATCACATCGTCTGAATTACTGCATATGTATTACATACAAAAAAGTATTTAAAGTACACATTTGTTACTGAATAGAATTTACGCTTTTTTAATATAATGTTAGATTAATTCAAGAAATATCAGAATTCGCTATGTGGTATTACAAATTTTAATACTTATTGAATTATTATTTTTATTACAGTAAAAAAATTTAATTGATACGAGGGAGATGTTTAATTTTTTTAATTTACTGTCTACGAATTGTAAAATAGGATCCTCTTATTTAACAGATTTTTTTAATAATATTGTATATATTTAATAGGCATAGAACCGGATCCACAGAATTTGGATTTGAGTCATTTAAGTTTAGAAGAAAGAGCTCTCATTCAAAATGTTATGGCAAAAGCTAAAAATATGGAAGAACCTACAAGGTAATACATTGAACATTTGCAATTAAAATTGTTCATTGGTTATTAGAAAACATATATTATTAGTTGTTTAATTTTTTAAATCTATTTGACCATTTTATTCCAACCCTCACATAAAAAATTAATAATAATTTTTATTATTGATATTCTTTATATTTATATTTATTTTATAAAATGTTCAAGTTAGTCATATTTTTATAGAATTTTTTTGATATTAAATTTTTTATTGAAATGTATTCTTTACATTTTTTAGTAACACAAATAATTCATTACAAAGGCCTGTGGATGGACTTAGACAAGGCTACAATAGTGGAAATTACTCAAATCAACAGAGTATGTATTATGGTAGCAATAGCAGCGTTGCGCAACAACAAAAACAGCAGCAGCAGCAACAACAACCACAGCAGCAAATTCAATATCAAAATCAACAGCGACAGCGGCAGCAACAAGTACAACAACAAAGTAATAAGTATCAAGATGCTAGCTATCAAGAGCAACCACGACATGCGCAAAAGAGTACTGTGTCATACCAACCACAACAATATCCCCAGAACTCTCCACAGATTCAGATGCAGCAAAGTATCAGTACATCCCCTGGGTATTCATCTGGGATGACTGCTAAACGTCAACAGCAACAGCAAAAACAGCAGCAACAACAACAACACCGTATTAGTTTTAATGGTAATGAACATCTTCAATCATCGCCAGAGCAATTATCGCCTGTATCGCCAGATAATGATACTTCTACTTACTTTCAATATGGTAATCAACAATCACTAGCTGAACGATCGGGATCAGATTCTAGTGACGATGTAAGTCTGGCAGAGTGTCTTGTCAATGAAATAAATTTAAAGCCGATGCCACTATTGGACGAAAATGGACAAATATTGATGGATGACTCGAATAGAATGCAACATCAACAGCAGCAACAACAGCAGTTAATTCAGCAACAACTGGAGCAAAATCAGTTAATAGACGCTGCTCAGTTGTACTACGATAGAAGTCTGGGTGATGTTTACACAATACACGAAGATGAAGATGAGGTGAGCAGTCCAACAGGTGCAGACGGAGTGACCAGTCTTAGGAAAAGACAAATGGCTAATACATTAACCGGTTTGTATTATTAAATTAATAATAGGCCAAATGTTTTGTCTTAAAAATTAAAAATAATAACATAATCTGTGTAGTTAATAACTAAATTAAACAGAAAAACATGTTACTCGTGTGCAATGTTAATATGTTAATCATTTAAAAGCTCTAAGTACTGTATATGTCAATCTATTTAAACTTCTGATTTACGCTCTATTCGAAGCGTCAGTTAGTCTAAATAATATTTATAATACTAAATAATATTTATAGTTATTGTACAGTACCATACTATAAAATGATACTGATTAAATTTTATTTTATAAGATAATTAGGTGTACCTAACTTTTGGTAATTATATAATTCTGGAATAATGTAACAATAGTAATACTATTTAAATTAATAATACTCTATAGATAACATAATTACCCAAGATCGTATCTAGAAACATTTTTGATATTTACAATTATAACTTTAAATAAAGTTAAAGACAGTCAAGATCCACTGTCGAGTAAAGGCATATTTTTAAATTAGAACTGATGAATACCTGTCAGTAATTAAAATTACTATATACAAATTTTAAATTTTATTTAGTTTTGATTGATGTAGACATTTTATTGTTCTGAATAATTGGCAATATTTCTAAAGATTGTATAATTTTTAGCTTTAATGTTCCATAACACATAGAAATTAAGTTTTTTTTTTCACCATAAAGTATTTTGTAATAGTGTTAATTTGATGTAGAATTAAAAGACAGATTTTTTAGAACATTTAGGAGGGGATTAATCAATGGGGCGTCTTTTTCGGAGGCATTGAAAAATTCATGCTTTTAATTTTATTAAACATCAATAAAAATTCAACAAAATTTTCTTTTTTTTTGGGGGGGGGGTTATTATATTATTCTAAAATTTATTTTTATATAATTATACATGTAATTTTTGTGAAATTTTAAAATTGGAAGCTCTTCTGTTGAACAAAATTGCTTTCATTTATTTATGCCGTTATTACCAATCAATATTTTATTTATAATTGATGTAATAATAAAATTAACATAAAAACTAAAAAGTTGTAATATTGATGTAATTGGATGAAAAAGGAAAAGCTGATTTTTTGTTATTCACTGATTGTTTTTAGTATGCGTGACATTATTATTACTATAAACCTAAAATTAACTTTTCATTTATTACGCATTAGATTGTATGACATTAATTTTAACGAGTAGGTGCTAGTTTAAGTTTTGCATTATTTTCTACGAATAAAAAAAGGGGTAATCAAGTGTAATACCAACTGTTTTGATTTCAGTTAGCACTTCCGTATTTGTTCAGTTGTTCCAATTTTTTTTACCAATAAAATAAAAATAAATGTCATGTCATTCATTATTTATTATTATTTTCAGCTATTTCTGGTTTAAGCGGTGCCGAGTTTCAAAAAGAAAATGAAAAACTCTCAAACTTAAAATTTGGTCAGGATGGCCGAGCACAGACAAAATTAAATGAATCAATATATGATCAAGGACGATCGAAAAAAGCTAATTCATTAATTCAATCTGGTATTTTAAGTTTATTTTATAGTATTACATATTTATCTTATTACTCAAAAAACATTAATATTATATAAAGAGTGGTTTATTAAAAACATTTTACATTCGTAAAATGAATACAATATTAGAAAAAAATGTTTGACTTATTTTAGTTACATATATTTTTTGATTTATCAACTTAAAATTACTTTTTAGAATCATTCCTTATAATTTAATGGGTTATCAACTTTATATTTTTAAATGTCAATATACATATTTACTAGCTTATAAAATAGAAAATGATGTAACTAAGATTTGATTTTTATAGAAATTAACTAATATTCCAACTTTTAGACAGTATTTCAGAAGTTATTACAAATTTACAGTTACTATTGAAAGTTTACATTGTGTGTTGCTCTTTTTATTACTAGTCATTTCTCGGCTGTACTCTCTGACCAGCCAAATTATAAAATTGAGAATACAATATTTATTATAATTAATCATAATTATAATTATATAATGAATCATAAATCATAAGGGATGATTTTAAAAAGTAATTATTAGCTTATAAATAAAAAAGTACACGTAACTAAAAAAAGCAAACAATTTTTTCTCAATGTTGCATTTATTTTGAGAGTAATCGGAGTGGATTATGATAAACCGGTCACCTGTATAATATGTACAGTGATTATTACTTCTAGTCTGCTAGAAGATTTGTTTAATCTCATATTTCCCTAATCAGTGTTATTTGCGTATTGGTTATTTTAGCTTCGATGCGAAGCTGAGAAGGTATTGGTTTTACTATGATGTGTTTTTTTTTTTTTTTGTGTCTGTTACCACTTTTTCTCAGCTCTCACCGAACGGATTTCTTTCAACGATACGTCAAAAGATCACAAATCGTATCTAGTCGAAGACATTACCCTTCAAAATTGAAAAAATTTCCCTTGTTCCCCGTAAATGGGGGAAACCTCCAAAAAAATTACAAATTTAAAAATCGCTAATTTTCGAAATTTTTT